ACTCAAAAGTCTGTTATTCCATTTCAATCAAAAAACTGAATCAGTCACACAACTGTAGCATTACTTTGGGTCCAGGACTTCCTTAAAAAACAGCTACTGATAATTCCAATGCCCCCCCCCAACAATCTAGTCTAGTTTAGCACACAAACATTAGCTTGTTTCTCAGAATAGTCTAATGAGGAAGATATTATCATCAATACCACTTTCAGGGAAAGATAATTAAGAGTCAGAACTGTAAGAACTGTAATTAACTGACTCCAGTCTGTATGCCCCTTTCATTTCATAGCCCAAATCAAGAAACCCTTCCTCTAAATTGCCTGCATGATCGTATCCTCAGGCTGTGGTAGAGCTTGAAATTTCAGCCAAGTTTTAACAGGTTCCCAGGTGATGTCACTGCTGGCCTGGGGGCCACAGTTTGAGACCCACTAGTTCAGGTGGTCTGCTTCTCGAGTGTGGTCTTTATTTTGCAGAAAATGAAGCAGATCAGTCAAAGTCAAATACAGGTGGACTCATTTTTCTTTAGATTGGGACTGATCTTTCCCAAGACTACTTTTTTGGGAAGTGACAAACACATAAACAAGGAAAAATGATCTGGGCTGATCTCTGGTTGTCCCCACCAAAGGACAAAGAACTATTCAAGGAATAAACCCTTGAGGATCCCAAGTAAACAGAAACCTTCTTACAGCTGAGACAGCAATGTGAGACAACCTCCGTTCCTGAGGCGTGGCCACCTGGGGCCTCAACGGAAGTGACTAGATATGAACCCAGACACCAGCTGGGGGTGGACTGCGTGGCAAAGGTACCGTGACCTCAGACCCCTGGCATTCCTCCCCGGAACTCCAAGCCCTCAACACACAGGCTGGCCTGCCAGCTCCCTCTTACCCATGTGTTCAGAGGAACCTGACAGCCCCTTCCCCAATACCCAGTGACCCTTGCTACACCCTCCAAGATGTAACAAACGGTCTCTCCAAGAATTCCTGCTTTACCCTTTCACAGCCTGTTCTCCTTTAACAGTCCCCCAAATCTTCATTTTCCACCCGAAATGTGTGTTTTTTAATGAGGTCTCTTTGTTCTCACAATCTTCAACTTCCATCTCCAACAAGCATTCACGACTCAAGAAACCCTCCACTCAGCCGCATGCACATCTATTCCCCAAGCTCAGATGCACTTGCCCAGATCCTCAACAGCCAGGGACCCTCCAATTTTCCACCCCTTGCCCTTCCCCCACACTTCTTCCATCCAATCCCCCAAACCGCCTCTCCAACTATCGAGACCAATCCTCATAGCAGCCCCTCCTTTCGGTCCTTTCGCCCTCTACTCTGTCGCTCCCCCCACCCCCACCCCCACCCAGGCGCCGAGAGCCCCCAAATCGGGGACACTCCCCTGCCTACCATGAAAAGTCGGAGGACGCCGGAGTCTCCAAATCCGGACTGAAAGGAAACACCCAGTTTGCACGAGCGGGGGGGGGGGACTTCCGCTGCTCTCATCCCACTTCCGCCCCGCAGAGGCCACCTCTCTGAAGTGTCCGACGTCGTCGTCCCAGATATGACCGCTTTCTTTTTATCCTCCCTTGCCGGGATGGGTTCCATCTCCCCTCAGCTGGGTCAGGCATTTATCCCACTCCTGAATGTTCAGGTTTGTCACCTGCCAGAGAAGAGGAGAAGCGAAAGGAGGTTTTTATTCCTGGGCAAATAAACTCTGCAGAACTCTTGTTTCCCGGAACCGGATACTTGCTTCCCGGCGGAGTTTGGAGAGCGAACACCCCGGGGCAAGATGGCGGTCGGTCTTTGGCCGTTGCCCCGGGCTTGGCAGAACTCGGGGATATTGGGCTGAGGCGGTGTAAGTTGCAACCCGGACCCCGAGCGCGGGGCCTCAAATGGATAAAGGTCTATAGCCTGCGGGTAGCGGGTGGGAATAAGGGCCTTCGGTTCTCTGGGTGGGCTTGGGGACTTTGAGGGAGGTGGTTCTGGAGCCGAGTCTGCTTGGTCGGAGAGGTAGGTTTGGGGGGCTACCTTTCGATCCTCAGGGGTCTTTCCACCTCTTTTCTTCTTTGAGGCGATAGCCCTTTGTGAATTAACTAATGCTGAGCGAAGAGGATTTGTTGTTGAGGTTGTTGATGCCAAGGAAAGACACCAGGCCTCAGGAGTCACTCAGACTGGAGTTCTATTTCTATTCGCTTGCTTTATGACCCTGGGTGACTCCACTCTTTTCTCTGACTCTGTTTCCTTCTCTGTAGAATGGAATAATTGGCTTGTTTCCTAGAGAACGTTTTATAGTACTTTTTAGTACTGTGCCTAACCCCCAGTTCCTTAATAAAGAAAATCAAAGTCATAATTAAACTTGGACCTAGGCCCATGGGCAGCCTTGCGTTCTTATCTTCTCTTTGTTTTGCCATTCTGTAAAGGAGGAGCCCTGGATCTTGTGTGGTATACTTACCAAGAAGTTATTGCTTTGGGTCAAATTTAGAAGCCCAGAGATCTGTGGCAAGTCATGACTCCTCTGTTTCATTTTCCCCACTGAAGATGAAATTGATATTAACACCCACCTAGAAAGGCTGTAGCTTTCAATAAATGATAGCGAATATTAATGATTTTTCCTAGTCCTGTTGTGTATTCCTGAGTTAAAAAAAAAAAGTTATTGAGACCTAACAAGACAGCTGTTGAAAAGACAGGGTTGGTACGGTGTCTGATACATAGTCTGTAACAAACTTTTATGGTCATTAAACTGGCAGCCCTTATTACCATACAGAAAAAATCATTAAGTAGTTAATATTTATGGTACTTGACCCTGGGACAATATTCTCTGGACTATCATGGGCCTTTGTAATTCTCCATGAAGTTGACCTCACCCAGAAAAGACTGATTTTGAGCAGGTATCATGGGAATATAGAATTAGTACAGAGTTTGAATCCTGTAGGTATTAAAATCATAACTCTACCACTTGCTAATGGTCTAACCTGGATTGTATTTTATATAATATATTTTAAAATATATGTGTGTATATAAATAAATTGGCAAATGAGGGGTAGAATCAGGATTGATCCACGTCCTTTTCTGTTACAGACTTTTCTTTTATTCTCTGTAGCACTTAACAAAATAAGTACTTGGTATTTGATTATGTATTTTATTTGATGAGCCCTAGTACACATTATGCAAATGGAGGAGGTATATTGGAAAAAAATGAGAAAAACTACATAGACTACTATACAGTGTAAACAGAAACCAATGTAGCCAAGAGGGTGGTAATCTCAAGAAGGGAATCTTATTCTCTGAGGTCCCCTGGGAGAAGTAAAAGTTTTGAGATGGGCTTACATGTAATTAGGCACAGATTGCATGTAATCTTCTCTCCTTCAATTGAGAAGCAGCTCCCTCTTCTGATCCCCATGACCCCACCCCCACCCCCGCCAGTAAGGGACATGTTACAAAGAGATCGTATGTTGTTGTGCTCATGGCGTGGGCCCTGGTCCTTTGCACCTCTCAGGAGCTTGAAGCTGTTATGACTAAGGCCAGGGCTTCATAACCCAAGTGCCAAGACTGGTTTAAGACCCTTGAGGACAGGAAAAAATTTAATGAGTGAAAAACATCAGGAAGCTGGCATTACTTCTATCCAAAGAACCTTAGTGACTCCAGTTGGAAATTTCTGCAGAAGTGTTGAAAAGAAAAAAAAATTGTGTCCATAAAAATAATGCATTAAATAGACTTATTGACTGTGCTCTGTCATCATCTCAGTTGTTGCTTGATACACATCTCAGTTCCCATGATGGGCCTCTGAGCCGATTAACAGATAAAGATAACAGATAAAGACTCAGTCTCTACAATACTGGTAGAGTTCTGTGTGATTCCAAATCCAATGTGTTTCTGTGCAATGCCAATTACTATATGCTCTCTGGAAAATTTAGAAAATAGAAACAGGAAGATTTTCCATAATCTTACATTGCCTCAAAACAACATTTTTGGGTGTAGTGTTGTGGATTGACCTAGTGCCTCCATGTTTAACCAGTCTTAACATGTTGGCATATTTCATCCCAGTGTGATATGTGCCTGCACATTTGTTTTTTCCATTAGGTAATTGGGATTGTATGGTTTACAAGTAGCCATTTTTTCCACTCAAGAACATAAACATTTTTCTATACTGTTAAAAGATGTCAAAATTTTCATTGGCTTTTTAATATTTCATCACCTCTGTTATTTTTGTTTACCATCTTAGAGCCTGTAAAGCTTTAGTTCAACAACTTTAGAATTATTTTCAACCTATTCCCTTTATATTTCAAGGACTGGGGATATATAGTCTTAATATTTAGATGAGATTTTAATGAAACAGGACATAATTTTTTTCTTAAACTTTGAGCACACACACACACACACCACATATATATATTTGGTGTGTGTGTGTGTGTGCCAGGGATTGAACTCAGGACCTTGTGCTTGCAAGACAGGCAGTGGAACCACTGAGCTAAATCCCTGGCCCTTGAGCATTTATTACTTATACTACTCACGAAGATATATGATACCACACCTATAAAACAACTTTAAGGGCCGGGGATTTAGCTCAGTGGTTTCACCACCTGCTGCACAAGCACAAGGACCCGAGTTCGATCCCTGGTACCAAAAAACTTTAAATCTGGATTCTTTTTCTTTTGCTTCTGTCAGAAAAAAACAAAAAACAAACAAACACCAAGCTCCTTTGAAGTGAGAAGTTGTCCTCAGCTGTGTGTCCTGTGCAAGATCACTAATGGTTACCTAGCCGAGGATTTAGCTCAGTGGATCCACTGCCTGCTTCACAAGCACAAGGTCCCGAGTTGGATCCCTGGTAGCCCCTCACCAAAAAAAAGAAAGTCAAACTAATGGTTATTTAGCATTTCTGCTACATGGGTGAGTTGTCAGGTGAGGTCTCTAGATTGGGGCCAAAGGAGTGAAGAACTCAGAAGACAGATACCTTTCTTCCTTCAGCCTTCTCACTCCCTGTGGTTAGGCAGGCTCTTAAAAGTTGTTGAAGACAGACTCACATGTTGGCAGTTCTGGTGTTATTTGACAGGTGTGAATCAGTGTTGAAAAGGGACCATAGAAGTCCCAAATGTGTTTGTGTGGCAGGAGCCTAGCACAAACCTTTTATTCTTGATGATGTTTCTTTATAGGTGCTGCTTTGAGTAACTTAACCTGGTAAAGGGAGTTTTCCAGAAGTGGATTTCTGAAATTCACTTCAGTCTGGCCCCCCAAATCTCCCTCCCCATACTAGGGATTGAACTCAGGGCCTGGTGTGTGTGAGCCAACCATTCCACCACTGAGTATACTGCCCGCCCTTTTTTAAAATTTTATTTTGAGACAAGGTCTCACTGGGTTGCCCAGGCTGGTCTCATACTTCCAATCTTTTTTGCTTAGCCTCCCAAGTAGCTGGGATTACGGTGTGCACCACCACACCTGGATACTTTGTTCCTTTTTAGTGTTAAAATTGGCCCTTCAAAAAGAAAAAGACTTACTGTGCTGGGCACAATATAGGTACCAGTAAATGTTTGTTGAGTGAATGGATGACTAAAATAATGGTGACAAGTATGATGTTTGATTTTTTTTTTCCCTCAAGCTTTTACTTGGAAAAATAGTTTATTGCTTATTGTTAGCTTCCCAAATATGTTGGACTTCTCCAGAAAATTCAATACTGTATCTGGGAATCTTTGACTTAGAGGATTCCTGATTTGAACTGGAGCGTTATGGTGGGATTGGTTCATGCTCTGTTCCTTTATTAAACTTGTACACATGACTGCTTGGCAAGCGCAAGGTCCTGAATTCGATCCCCAGTACCAAAATAAATAAATAAATTTGTACCAAACCTTCCAGTACTTTATGCCAGGCACTATGTATGCTTTGTCTCTTAAGAAAACATAATCATTTAGTACAGAATACAACATTTCTGACCTAGGTGAATTGCCTGAAAGGAACCGATAGGAGTCTGGGTTGTGCCAGGGTTGCTGAGAGCACCTTGGAAGGTGCTAGAGGGTCCTGAACATCTCTCTGCTGCTGCCCCAGTCCCTGCCTGCCCTTTGCATTTGAGCTCTTTTCTATGTGTGTTTTTCATACAGCCGTCCATACAGCAGCTCCTTGCCATTTTCTTTGCAGAGTTTGTGCAGGTTTGCAAACATGTTCACTGTATCTCAGACCTCGAGAGCATGGTTTATCGACAGAACCCGGCAGGCACGAGAAGAAAGGCTGGTTCAGAAGGAGCGGGAGCGCGCCGCCGTGGAGATTCAGGCTTATGTCCGGAGTTTCCTGTGTCGGCGTCAACTGCATAGAGACATCAGGTGGGTGCCAGGAACTCGTCAGGACATTTTTCTTCTGCTCCCAATTAATAAGAAAAAGAATGAATTTTCCCTTACAATGCCTCCAGATGCTGTGAGCTTCTAGTTTGAAATGTCTTTCTTTTTACTCTTCCCTCCCTAGGAGAGAGATTGATGAATTTTTAAAAGGCGATGACTCAGGGTCCAATAAAGGAAGTGCGCTTTGTATTTTTAAGACTACTAGGAAACTGCTGTTCTTATTCAGGATTAAAGAGGATAATGAGGTAAATAATGATATCAAATATATATATATCCATATGCCAGGACTTTTTATACCCATTTTGCAAACATTAACTCATTTTGTCCATGCAGCAGCTCTCTGAAGTAGCTATTTTACCCCTACCTCCTACCCCTTTTGTTTTCTTGGGACCTGTTTTGTAGAGATCATGCCCATGGTTTCTGGGGATTTTTCACACGGTTACAAACACACATTGGACTCAGATGTATACAGGAGACAGGCAGCCTAGGTATATGAGTAAAAGACACCATATATGAAGCCAGGCATGGTGGCACATACCTGTAAGCCCAGCACTCGGGAGGCTGAGGCAGGAGGATTGCAAGCTCAAGCCCCACCTGTGCAACTCAGACTGTCTCAAAATAAAAAAGGGTTGGGGTTATAGCTCAGTGCAGAGGCTCTGGATTCAATCCCTAGTACTGCCAAACAAAACAAAGACATTATATATGAAGGGAAATACAAATCATAAGAAACAGTAACTGACAGGCTGTGCTTAGAGCATCAAAGGGAGCAGCAAAGTTTGTTTCCTGTCATCCAAAGGGAAGCACATGCTAGTAGGTTCCTTCCAGTGGTGGACTTATACTCTGATTTTTTAAACAGAAGCTGGGTGTAGTAGTGCATACCTGTAGTCCTAGCACTCTGGGAGGTTGAGGCAGGAGGTTCACAAATATGCATGCAACCTGGACAACTTAGTGACTTAGACCCTGTCTCAAAACTAAAAATAAAAGGTAAGGGCCGAGGATTTAGCTCAGTGGTTTTCGCCACCTGCTGCGCAGGCACAAGGACCCAAGTTCGATCCCCAGTACCAAAAAAATAAATAAATGAAAAGTCCTGGGTTCAATTGTCAGTACCGCCAAAACAAAAACAAAACACTAGAGACCTGGGTCTTTATGCTTAATGTTCTGATTAATACAAGTTGGTAACTAATTTGGATTTTTTTTAGCACATTGCAAACCAAACCAAAAACACTGGTTTCCACCTTCAAGAAGAGAATGATTGGCCTGGAAAATACAGTCCCAGGGAAGCAGATAATTATCTATAATAGTACTGAGGATGCCACTGAGGCTCCACAAGGACACAAGGCAGCAAGGCTTCTACCCTTATGGAGCTCTGAGCTCAGCAGAGAGGGAGGGTTACATGGGCATGGGGTACCCTGTCAGGTAGATGAGCACAGACAAGCTCAGACAGGTGATCCGGTCTTACAGAGGAGGAAACTGCAGGGCCATCACATTTTTCCGGGTGGATCTGGGAGTAGTACAGCCAAAGTGTAACCTGTTTTCCAGTTTCTACTTTGTTCCTTTCGCACAGCAGGATAAAAGTGATGGTACAGCAACCTTTAGCTGATGGCTGTGAGACAAAAGTCAGTGTTCAGGATGCTTACAAAATGGAGGACTGAAGACCACCACTGTTGCTAATCCAAGCCCAGTTTTTCAGATGTAATTTCAGTTTTCAAAAAGCACCATGGGCCTGGAGATGCAGCTTAGTGGTAGAGTTCTTGCCTGCTATGTTTGAGGCCCTGGGTTCACTGCAAAAACAAACAACAACAACAGAAACCTCCATTCTGGATTTTTATATGAAATACACCAGTTTGTAAAACACCTTGGAAGGGCTCATCTAGCCTAGGGACCAGTTACTTGAGAGGCTGTCTTTAGCTCTTCTGATCCTCAGTCTCCACATCTGTAAGGAGGAATTGAAAATGATCACATGTGAGTTACCTGGCATATTGCCTGCACATGTCTTATACTCACTGTGTGTGCCCATGTGCCTCTTGATTTTTGGTTATTTGTGGAAATTTATGATCCCTTTTCTGCCTCTGCAGAGATTTGAGAAGTTGTGTCGTTGCATCTTGAGCAGCATGGATGCCGAGAATGAACCTAAGGTAAGTGGCTCAGGAGCTGGAGAGTCTCCCCCAAGCTCTTGAGGGCCATACATGCAAGTAAATAATGGGTGAATGGAAAACATTTAGAGTTCAAATGATGCCTTGGTCTTAACTGTCCAAGGAGCTGTGTTCTGCTCTTGCCTCTTACTTAGGACAATAAATGCCCTTACTAGGTTTTTTTATCTTTGGGTTTAGTCCTACTTGCTGTTTATTCATCCATTCATCTTTACCACTTTATCTGGCACTGGCATTAGCTAATAGGTCCAGCTCCAGTAGAGAGGCCATGTATAGTATGACCCCTATAATTGCCATCGCATTCCTGTCCTCTGCTTATAGGTGTGGTATGTGTCCCTGGCTCTTTCCAAGGATCTTACTCTCCTGTGGATTAAACAGATCAAGTCTATTCTGTGGTATTGCTGTGAGTTTCTTGAGCAGCTCAAGGTAAAAACCAACCTGTAAATCATTCTCTGGAACTTTCCCTTTATATTTTTAGTCTACATCATTCCCTCATTGGTTACAAATGTGAAGAGCTATCATTCAGGGTCCAGTAAAGAATTACTGTTGAGCCACTGTTCTGGAAGAGAGCAAAACAGATGTTGCTAGCAATGTGAGCCCTTCTTTAGTATAATATGTTGAACATTGACCACACTTGCCATAGTCTCAATGCTGGGGAATCCTATCTTCCTTCTTGTTCTTTTGATGTAATGAATAGTTTATGATTTATATCTTTGTCCTAATTGGGCCTCTTCTTAGAGGTAACATACAGAAACCCAACATGAGCAAAGTAAGTAATGCAAACAGGGTAAGACAGAATGTTTTGTTATAGAATATGTTCTACAACTTGGTAGCTGGGGATGACTAGAACGTAGGACTTCTAGATTCTTCTAGTTCTTTTCTGTTATCTCTCCTCCCTTTGGGAGGCCCTGCATCCCCTCCTGCTGTACTCATGGCAGTCAGTAGTTCCAGCCTCACATCCATGCTATCTTGACCAAAGAGAAAAAGGCCTCCCCCACTAGCTCAAAAATGTAGGAGGATTCTTACAGGCTCAGTAGTACTCTGGGCTAAACCCTGAACCAGTCATAGTGGTGAGAGCAAAGAGCTACTGCTCCTGGCCCAGGCAGGTGCTGTGCCTGCCCCGGTGTTACACAGAGGTAGAAGGCAGTGTGAGCAGAGGCAAAGAGCAGTCTTTCTACTTTGCACACAGCGAGGGAGAGGTTTCAGAAACCAAGGCTTTTCAAGGACTCAGATTGCACCTGAGCACTGGAGCAAATGTCCCCAAACCCTGCCTCATCCCCAGCTGTTATGGTGCTGGTGGATGACTCTTAGTCACAGCCCATCCAAGGCAGCAAGCTAGTAGCAAGCCACAGGCAGCTTATCAGGTGAGGCTGAGGGCACAGGGAAGTGGTCCTACCACCCTGAGCTCAGAGTCCTGAGCTTCCATCACAGTGTCTTCAGCCAGGTGAGCAGATCACTCCCCTACCTCCATTGGAGCCAGGCAGATGCTTCTCCCTGCTTTTGGAATCAATATTCCCTAACAGTTTCTCTTTGAGAAGGGCTCTTCTACTGTGAAAACATAAGAGTAGTTTATGTGTGGAAGCAGGTATTGGGAGAAAGAGCACTGGGTTTGGAGCCAGGAGGATCTTCCATTTAGTTCTGTTGTGCTGATTTCCCACCCTTCCCTGATCAAGTCCTTCCCCTCTCTTCTTCCTGTGAGTTGAGGGTTTGAACTAAGGAGCTCCAGGCTCCTTTCAGATGTGTGTGCTATAGGTCTGTGAGCCTGGAAAGCAGGCAAGCATTTTGCCTGAGTTACTCTTGTGAAATAGTGAACAATCATAATAGCAACCAACAATATATGGAGTTATCCATGTGCTGGACACTAAGGTTGATGTTTTGTGGGCATTAATCCATTTATTCCCCCAAGCAACCCCAGGAGGAAAACACGTTACTATTTCTAGTCAACAGATGAGGAAATCAAGCACAGAGAGGTTAAGAAACTTGACCAAGATCACACAGCTAATAAGTGGTGAAGCCAGAAGTCAGAACCTAGAGTCCCTGTTATGCTCAGTTGCATTTCTACAGTTGCTACAGTGTTCAAGCACAGACATATGCACATGTGGTAATCCAGCCCTGTCATCCTGTTTCCCAAGAATAGTCAGTGCTGCATTCCCAAGAGCCTTTGGTTACATGGTTAAGCACTAGCATGATGAAATCCTCGTCATCTGACTCCACAGTGGCCATTCCCCAGGAGAAAAAGAATACACTTAGAGTCCTGACTCAGTTTTTGTAGTCTGAGTGCCCTGAGAAAGTTGTAAAATGGGTGTTCTACTGCCTGGGATTGGATGGTATGAGTCTTACTCTTCCTCCTCTTACTGTTTCCAGCCTGAAATCCTACAAGACTCCAAACTCATCACACTCTACTTGACCATGCTTGTCACCTTCACAGACACTTCCACATGGAAAATTCTCCGAGGAAAAGGTCGGTGAGACTTGCTTCAAAATCTTTCCTAACTGGCATTTGCATAGAGGATGGAGCGTCTCTTTTCCTTTATTAAGAAGCAGTATTACAACCACGAGAATCGGGGAAGGCTCTGAGACTACACAGATGCCCTTGGCACTTCCTGACAGACTGTGTGGCAGGATCCAGAATGTGCCAGTATTGTGCGTCACACTCTCCCCCATTCAAACTTACATTTAAAGGATATTCTAATCTCATTTTTTATAATTCTTATAACACCTCAGCCTGTAAATGATAATGTTCATTTACGCTTTCTTATTTCATTTAGAAAGCCATTAAGTAGCAAATAATTGTATTTTGCCCGTAAAATTTGTATTATAAACCTACCTTTTTCCCTGAAGAAGAAATTATCCTTAGCCTTACATATTTCATATATTCTTTTTTATTCATCCATTTAGCCGACAGCCTACTGTATGCCGGACACTGTATCCCCATGGGTACTGGGGACACAGTGATGAGAAAACAGAAAAGGCCGCTGCCCTCTTGGGATTTTCAGTGCTCTGGTCCTCACTGAACTTAGAGTCTAGAGATGCTAAGTAGAAGTCACTCACACAGAGTTAGACTCCGTATTTGCAGGTTCCTTCTCCATGGATTCAGCCAACCAATCATGGATCAGAAATATTTGAAAAAATATGTATCTGTACCAGTCATGTAGAGACTTCTTGTCATTCCTTAACAATATAGTCTAACAAATACCTATCATTTACATTGTATTGGGTGTTATAAGTAATCTACAAATGATTTACAGTACACAGGAGGAAGGGTGTAGGTTCTATACAAATACTACAGCATTTTATGTAAGGGACTTGAGCATCCATAGATTTTGACATACAAAAGGAGATCTGGAACCAGCCCTGACAAACGCTGTATTTGTGAGATGCCTCTATAAGATGATAATAAGCTGGGCCGGGGATTTAGCTCAATGGTTCCACTGCCTGCCTTGCAAGCGCAAGGACCTGAGTTCGATCCCCGGTACCAAAAAAAAAAAAAAAAAAGATGATAATAAGTGCTTGGAAGGAAAAGTCCTAAGGAATGAGAGTATTCATTGGGATTGAGGAAGCCTTTCTTTGACTAGGGCTTAGTTTTCCTTGCAAAAGTGATGTCTGAGCTCAGAGCTGGAGGGAGAGGCAGTGTTCAGAGTGAAGAAGGAAGGAGAGACTGAAAGCAGAAGATTCTGGGCAAAAGCTCCAGGCAAACGAGGGTGTATGTTAGGCATTGTCCTGGACTCTGGGAGGGATCTAAAAGATTGTTGAGCCAAGCTTGGTGGTGTACACCTGTAATCCCAGCACTCGGAAGGCTGAGGCAGGAGGATCACAGTGAGCTCAAGGCCAGCCTGACCTACCTAGCAAGACCCTGTCTTAAAAAACCAAAAGACATTTTAAAAATAAAAAATTATTGAATTCTGACCCCTGCAGGAAACTCATGTCCCAGTAGGGAGAGGAGGCATCCAGGGAGAGTAGAGGGCACCACACCCTAAAAAGGAGTTGGAAAGGAGCAGGGAGCTAGGAGGCCAACATTTCTTCTCGCTGAGGGAAGGAAAGGACCCAGCACCCAAAAAGTCACTTGAGCCAGGCCTTCCAGGAGAGAATGAATCAGGATATCCAGAGCCTCCCTGTGATATGGTTCAGACCGGACAGAAGGGAGCAGGAAGCCAAGACAGTGTCACATTTCCTTACAGTCTTGGGCCTGGGGCATAATTTTCTGCCTAAGATAAACGGGTTATGTTATGGCAAGATATTTTTTTTTCACAAACTTTTTTCTTCATTTAGGTGAGAGCCTTCGACTTGCCATGAACCACATTTGTGCAAATATAATGGGACATCTCAACCAGTGTGGGTTTTATTCTGTGTTGCGGGTATGTGATGCCACCCCCTAAGATGTGACCTCCCATCCCCCAGTGCCTGAAGTTAGACTTTTACACTGGTTTGGGCACATCTGGTGCCTTCACACAGAAGCACGTTCTGTAGGAAGAGTTTAATGCCCAGTGTCCTCTCCTCCTTCCCCCTCCCTTGGGTCACCAGTGGTTGAGGGAAAGGGGGACAGTGGCATTGGGATCCCTGTAACAAGGGCATTACAGTTTTGGCTACACAGGTAATCCATTCTTTTGAAATTTAAACTCAGGAAGGAGGTCTCATGTTTTGTTGCTTCAGGTTCCTTCTTTGTAGGCCTGGAATTGTATTTCTAGCTCTGTGACCTCAAATAGCCTCTGTCCACTCTGCACCTTATTGTGCCAGGTTGTACCCCCAAGAATTGTTAGAAGCTTGGCTGCTGTTGAGAAGCACAGTGGAATTCTTGGGTTTGAGAAGTAGTGTTGATGTTGCCTTTCTACCTGGCTGTGCAATGGGCTATTTCCTGATTTGGTTTCTTGTTCTCCTTACAACAACCCTGTGAGGTAGCGTGATGGCAAAAAGTGGTCTATCAGCAGCTCAGTCTCAGTAGAGGAGACCTATGCCTGATACAGTAACTGAATTGCTTCTCAGTAACATAGTCTTGAAATGTAAGTCAGGTATTCTTGTTATTAGCTGATGATTTTTTTTTCCTGAAGTATACCCCCAGACATTTTCTTTCTTTCTTTTTTTTTTTTTTTGTACCAGGGATCAAACTCAGGTCCTTTTGCCTGCACAGCAGGTGGCGAAACCACTGAGCTAAATCCCCGGCCCTCATTTTTTGTTTTGAGGTAGGGTCTAGCTAAGTTGCCTGGGGCTGGCCTTGAGCTTGTAATCCTTTAGCTTCAGCCTCCTGAATAGCTAGGATTATAAGGACTGCACCACTGTGTGCCTGGGTTCTTTTTCTTTCTTTGAGACAAGATGTTGCCCACACTGTCCCAAAACCCTTGGGCTCAAGTGATCCTCCTGCCTCAGCCTCCTGGTAGCTGGCACCACAGGCACATGCCCCCAAGTCCAGCTTTCAGCTGTTTGTTGTTTTTTGTTTTTTTGGTACTGAGGCTTGAACTCAGGACCTTGCGCTTGCCAGGCAGGTGTGGCGCCTCAGAGCTACATTCCCAGCCCTCAGCTGTTAATTTTTTTCCAAACTGTTTATTAATGTAATATTTAAGGCCGGGTGTGGTGCACATGCCTGTAATTTCAGCACCTGGGAGGCTGAAGCAGGAGGATCACGAGTTTAAGGCCAGCCTGGGCTACCTAGAGAGACCTTGTCTCCACAAAATAAAGAAACAAAGACAAATGTAATATTTAAAGTAGGAAGACAATAGTAGATTAAGACTCCATACCCAATACCTTTCTTATTTTACAAATTTTGCTTCTGTTTTTTAACATACAAACTGCTACAAAGTTGGTATTATCCTCTGACCAGTTAAATGTTCTTTTCAGGTATTGTTGACCCGAGGCCTGGCCAGATCCCGGCCTTGTCTGTCCAAAGGCACTTTAACAGCAGCCTTTTCTCTAGCATTGCGGTAAGAAACTCTGAGTCTTCCTTCTGTACCCTGAGTGTTTTTCAGTGTAATCTGAGGGAAAGTATTCGAAATGAATTGTGTTTGGGCTGCGGGTGGCCAGATCCAATCACTTTTCTCCTTGAATTCTTATTTGGCCAGATAAAGAAATCCTAAGAGCTGGAGGAGGCTTGGCCAAGGGCAGGGGAGAGGACTAAGGAGGTCGTGTTAGGAACACAGACCAAAATGCTGGAACGGGAAGGGCAGGGAAGCTGTGTTATTTGCCCTCACTTAATCAATTTGTTGATGGACAGTACCTAAGAAACAAGATTTCCTTGTAGGGTCCTAAGAACTGTCAGTTGGCAAGATCTGTTTATCAGTGGGTCTAGAATATTCATAAACTGTTGAGGGGATCGCTGACTTGGAGGGGGTTAGTAAGAACTCCTGGCAGGAAAGGTGCCACAGTTAGACAGCGGGGGGCCGGGGATTTAGCTCAGTGGTTCTGCCGCCTGCCTCGCAAGCCCAAGGTCCCAAGTTCATCCCCCCCCCAAAAAAAAGGCTGAGGCGGAGAGCCACCTACCCTGCTCCTCCTGCAAATCCACAGCACACCTTGCTGTTGGAAGCACTGAGAACAAGTTCTGTGGTTGTCACAAGAGCCCTTATGTTTATTTCACGTGATGTTGGCCCAAACAGGTCCCCCTGCCTCGGTTTTGGATGGTACAGCATGTCTGTTAATACCTAGTGGAGTCATTTTCCGTGGAGCCATTTGGAAGACAGTGTTTAGAGAAGTGGTTTAAGACAAAAGATGTTCATGTATGAGCTGTTTTTTCTAAACTAAAACCTCAGTATTCAGGTTTAATTGCGGTGTTGGCACTTTGTGATAGTGTGAGTTTTAGGTCTCAGTTTGGGCACTCGTCTCTAAAAGGTTCACCATCACTGGGTTAGACCATGAGTTAGCAAACACTTCTGTGAAGACCCAGATAGTAGATACTCTTAGCTCAGTGGACCATACAGCCTCTGTGGCAGCTACTCTTCTGCCGTTGCAGTGGGAAAACAGCCAGAATGAATACAAAGTCCCAGGCTTAAAATTTTTCATGATTCACTATATGAGCCACCAATGTGGTTATATCTAATAATTTTACCACATTTCTTCTCCTTTTAAGACTACAGCAGCATCTATCATTCTTCTAAGTATTGGATCCCACCAGTCACTTGTTATGGTCAGGCTACTATAAAGCTTTTTTTCTTAAACAGATATAGTTGAACACAATCAGGACCTTGTCAAAGAAGATATTCAGTGGTGTCATTTTACCAGAATATACTGAAAGCCTGTAAAATCAGAAATGATATGTTTACATATAAGCACTAAATTTGGAAATATGATTAGCAATATTCAGTCATGAGCTACACACTGTTCTAAGACTTTTTACAAATATTAACTGACCACCTTTTTTTGTGTGTGAGCTCTGAGCTCTCACTCTGAGCTCACTATGTAGCCCAGGCTGGCCTTGGCCTCCTGAGTGCTGGGATACAGCCATGCTGTTAACTTGACTCTTAACCGCATTCTTTTATCTGTTCTTTTATAGATGAGGAAACTAAGGTCCAGAGAGTTTAAACCATTTGCTTTTGGTTACACAGCAGGAAAAGGCAAGGTTAGGAATAAACCCCAGGCCGTCTGACTCTAAAGCCTATATTCTTTGCTCCTTACTTAAAACTTGGCCTCACATACTGGACACATATTTTGTATTCTAAGAACAATACATATATCTTGAATAAATACCACATGGGAACCTTTCCAAGCTCATGCCGTTCCTCAGACCACCAGGGCATTAATTATCTGAGTCCCTCTCCTGCCCAGGTACATTGCCACACACTAGCCCTGGCTTCTGTTTTTCCTTGCATGCCTGCCTTCTTCCTGGTTGCATTGTGGGCTCTATACTATGTGCCACTAGCAATGCATTTATATGGTACATTATTCATCAAGGAGGCTAAAGAGTGACAGCTACAACTAAGCTAAAGAAAGATTCCGATGATCTCTTGCTGGTAAAATAGGTCATGGGAAACACGAGTGTTTAGGGTGTGTATGACCTTCTGTGGCTGGTCTCCTGTGAGGCACCCCTACTGTTCATATGGTGTCCTCCGTCCTCACTCCTGGTCTCTCCTAGCTCAGTCAGGCCAAGTTACCTATGGGCATAGCCCAGGATGGAATCGTCAGGTTCCTGTGAGAGTCCACACAGAACACACTGCCCTTTCAGGCTTCTGTCAGGAGACACATGTGAAGTGACCAGTTATAATTTCTGTGCCATTTTCTTGTGGTATGCTTTCCTCTGTCTAGGGAATTGTTTAGTCCTATTTTCCTTCCATTGTTTGTTTTTTTGGGGGGTGGGGGAGGTACCGGGGACTGAACTCAGGACCTTGCGCTTGCGCGGCAGGCACCTGAACCACTGAGCTAAATCCCTGGCCCTGTTTAGTCCTGTTTTAAAACTCTTTCTAACATGCAGAAAATAACCAGATTCTCTTTTGGCCTGCCCAGCTCAGATTAGCTTTGTTGCTCAGCCTCATGTAGGTAGACAAGTGCTTAACATGGACACTGATAGTTGGAGCATTTCAGCCTTATAAAATTTTCTTGTCTCAAAAACACTGTGCACAGTGCTCGCTTCAGCAGCACATACACTAAAAACACTGTGCACACATTAGCTAGAAGCCATTTTTCCCCTGTAAGTTATCCTTTTTTCCTTGCATAGCCTGAGTGATTATCTTTTTAAATAACATCTTTATTAAAATATAATTCACATTACCATATATTTCACACAAAGTAAATGGTTCAGGCATGTGTAGTATATTCAGTTGTGTGACCATCACCACTGTCAAATTCTGAAGCATTTTCATTACCCTGAAAAGAAACTCCATATCCATTAGTCAGCATTCTTTATCCTCTCCCTAAAAGTTCTGGCAACAAATAATCTACTTTCTGTCCCTTTTGGTTTGCCTGTTTGGTCATTTTACATAAATAGAATCATACAAACATGGTCTTTTGTTACCGCCTTTTCTTACTTTGCATAATGTGTTCAAGCTCAACTATATTATACCGTGTGTCAGAAATTCATTCCTTTTTACAGCCAAATGATCCATTGTATGATTATTCCACATCTGATTATTTCCATTCTTTGGCTATTATGTATTGTGTTGTTATGAACATTTATATACAAGTTTCTGTGTAGACATAAGTTTTCATTTCTCTTGGGTATATTTCTAGGAGTAGAATGGGTGGGTGAGTCATGGATGCTTAACTTTTTTTTCTCTTTTTTTTCTTTTTTAAGAACTGCCAAACTCTTTTTGAAAGTGCCTGTGCCATTTTATACTCCCTTTAGGAGTGTATACACGTTCCAGTTCTCCACATCTTCACCAACAACTGTTATCTTTTTTATTCTTTTTTTTTTTTTTTTTTTTTGGTACCAGGGATGGAACTTGGGTCCTTGCGCTTGTGAGGCAGGCGGTGGAACCACTGAGCTAAATTCCCAGCTCTGTCTTTTTTATTATAGCTATCCTAATAGGTATGATGTGGCATCTCACTGTCATTTTGATTTGAAATTCCCTGATGGTTAGTGGTGTTGGCCATTCTTTTGTGTGCTTATTAACCATTCATATGTCTTTAGAGTAGTGTTGATTTAGGTCCTGTGGCTGTTTTAGTTGGGTGTTCTCTCATTACTGAGTAGTATGAGTTCTTATGTTCTGGATCCAACTTCTCTAAGATATATAATTTGAAAATACTTCCTCTCTGTGGGTTATCTTTGCACTTCCTTGGTGGTATCTTTTGAATCAGAAAACTTTTTTTATGAAGTGCAATTTATGTTTTCTTTTGTCTTTTGTGATTTTGGTGTCTTACCTAAGTCATTGTATAACCTAAGGTCATAAAGACTTATGTGTTTTCTTCCAAGAATTTTATAGTTTTAGGCTGCACAAAGTGGCATACACCTGGCATATAATCCCAACACTGCTGGAGGCTGAAGCAAGAGGATCCGAAGTTCAGGTCCTACCTGAACAACTTAGCAATACCCTGTCTCAAAATAAAAAGGTGTAGAGTGGTAGAGGTGTAGTTCAGTAGTAAACAATATCTGGGTTCAGGCACTAGTAGTGAGGGGATGTCTTAGTTACTTTGCTCACTGCTGAGACAAAAATACCTAACCCCCAATTTAAAGGAGCAAGAGTTTATTTGGCTTACAGTTGATAGAGGTTTCAGTCCATAATCGGCTGGCTCCAAGGCAGGGTGGCACATGCAGGGGGACAACACTTCATGGCTGGTGAAAGGTAGCAAAAAGAGCAAGGGACCTTAAGAGTGTCTTTCTGTCCCTTTTATCTTATCCAGACTACTTAAGGTGGATACTTAGTACTCACAACATTAATCCTAATGCCCTTGAGCCTAGCATTGCACTACGAATGAATTCCAGCGTCACGCACTGTAGATCCAGCCACCTGTGAAGAAATCTCACGTATGACCGCATGAAGCTTTGGGGGAACATCTAAACACAAGCCATAACAGGGAGAAAAAAAGAATTTTTTACTTATAGCATTTAGATCTGTGATCCATTTTGAGTTAATTTTGATATATACTATGCTATAGAGGTAATTTTTTTTTTTTTGGTATTGGGGATCGAACTCATGACCTTGCGCTTGCAAGGCAGGCACAGTGCCAGTGAGCTAAATCACCGACCCCCAGGGGTAATTATTTTAATATTTATCTTTTTCTGATTATGGAAGTAATAGATGCTTATTGCAGAAACCCTATATAAAGCACAAGAATATAAAGAAGAAAAAAATTCTTAAGGTTTTTACAACCAGAGACACATTAACGTTTTTATCAACCTTTCCAATTTCTTTCGTGTTTATATATTTGTAAATGTTAATATCCAACTATAAATATTTTGAAATAAACTGCTTAATTTGAGTGTGAATTATTGATGAATTATCATCAAGTGGACATTTTGGTAAGTACCATTTAATTGAAAATTGAACCGTAATTGAAAATTCAGCTGTAATAAGGGTCCTCCAGAAGTCCTTTTCCTCTCCCATTTATGTCTTTGTTTACGTGTGTGTGTGTGTGTATGTGTGTGTGTCTGTTTGTTTTATAATTTATTACAGCATGAGCATTTTCTCGTGTCAGTAAAACTTCAAAACTGACTTTTCTCTCTTCCCTTGTTGTAGGGGTGTGTGTGTGTGTGTGTGTGTGTGGTACTTGGGATTGAACCTAGGCCCTTTCCTTTATGCTACATCCCCAGCCCTTTTTTATTTATTCTGAGATAGGGTCTCATTAAGTTGCTCGATTGCCTGGTTATGGCTCGAAGTTGTGATCCTCCTGCCTCAGCCTCCCAAAGTGCTGGAATCACAGGCATCTAGCACCACACCCAGCCAAAACTGATTTCTCATAGCTGTAAAGTCTTGCATTGTGTGACTTTACTTTCTTCGACTTAACCATTCCCTGGTGTATGTCCCCATTTTCAGCCTGTCGTTTTCCTAGATGTCCTGGGAAGCATAATTTCTAGGAGTTAGAGGTCTTTGTCAGGATCGCACTTTAGTTCTGGGTGGACACCTGTACCTGTCTGAATAAGTGGATCTGTCTGTGTCTAGCCCTGTGATTGCTGCACAATTTTCAGACAATCTGATTCGGCCATTCCTCATCCACATCATGTCTGTGCCTGCTCTCGTGACTCATCTCAGTACAGTGACCCCTGAGGTAAGTGGACATGGTGAGTTTCCCAAAAATTCAGTTTGCCTTTTGGTTTTTTCCTTCTTAGAATTTAAAAGATAAAATGATTTCTCTGCTAATTCTCACTCGTTCCCCTGCTTTTCTTCTAAGCCAGTAGCCACTATGGGCACACTTATGATAGCAGCCCAAAGAAGTAGGTTCTCGTTTTTGTCCTTTTTCTCCTTGGTGCCTGATAGTGTGTACCGCATAACTAAGGGTGATCTGTAAACAATCAAATTCGTGCCCTGGTGGGAAACTCCTCTTGTCATCTCCCACCTTAACAGCCTCCCATTGTTTGCAGCGTCTCACTGTTTTAGAATCTCATGACATGCTTCGTAAATTCATCATATTTTTAAGAGATGAAGATCGATGCCATGACATATGTGAAAATTTAGAAGGATGCCATACACTCTGTCTAATGGGTGAGTATTGGTGGTTGGAATTTGATTCTAGCCAGCACAAGAAGCCCGGATCTGTTGCTTTTCACCTGCTTAGAGGTTATCGGTTGTTTTTCATAACAATTTGAAATGTTTACCGTAAAAAAACATGTATTCAGGCAGTTGAAATAGACATGTAAAATTAAAAATTATGTGGAAGTGAACCTGGGAAGCTAGATAAGTGACTGTAGGTGGGCATTCGATTTCAGCTTTCTGGGAGCCAAGGGAAAAATGAAAACGTAAGTTGCCTGGATAATTCATATTTCAAGAGAGAATGGAGGGGGCACTTAGGTGGGGCTTAGATCAGCGCAGCACCTGCTTCACCTGTTTCAGTGTTATCATTGTTGACGAAGGATTTGTGGGTAGAAGCATTTAGAATCAGTGGTGATGAATAATTCTCATTGCCTAATGAGAAGAACTTCAGATGGAAAAAGATTCTTGTGGCTAAATTGTAAGGGGAATATCTGACAAGAGTCTTCACCCAAGGAGTATTAAAGAACTTTGGTGAACACTGAAGAGTGATTTCCCAGGACATTCAGTTATTGTCATTTCTTGTGTTACTCTTGATTTTTAAATATTAATATAATATTAAAGTGTTATACTAGGTAAATATCACATAACTTTGTGTATCTGACATTTTACATGTGTTTTTTATGTAATGCTCATGGAGAGTGGGAATCATTATTTCAGTCTTGCAGATAAGGAAACAGATTCAAGAGGTGGGTTGAGAGCCATGCAGCTCATCCTCAGCAGAGCCAGGATTTGAAGTTAGGTTGGCCTCTTTCTTACTCCTGCACCCATACTGTGGTCTCCAGCACTGCACTGGCAGGCACCCCTCACATGGACTCTCCTCCTGCACATACACTGTGGCTGCCTAAGCCACAGAGAGCAGGGCTCAGCCTTCTCTCTTTGCAGGCAACATCCTACAGTTGGGCTCCCTCAGCCCCCAAGTGTTAGAGGAGGAGACAGACGGGTTTGTGAGCTTGCTCACCCAGATGCTGTGCTACTGTCAGAAGTACGTGTCCCAGAAGAAATCCAACCTGACCCACTGGCACCCTGTCCTCGGCTGGTTCTCCCAATCTGTGGATTATGGGTAAGCACTGCTGCCTTCTTGTCTCTCCCTAGCACTTCCCCTTCTTCCTTCTTCCAGCTTTTCTTGTTTTGTTTCTTAAAACAAAAATAGTACGTCTTCATTGTATAAAATAGAGATAAAACCAAAAGAGAATAAAAACTATCCTTCCATTTTTTTCCTATCTTGATAGTTTTTTTACAAAAGTGAGCATAAGATGTTGAATTTTGTTCTTTTCATTACTAAGTTATGAACCTCATCTATCAATATTTTTTCTTCTTCAGTATCCCTTTCATTGATTGATTAGACTACCCTATTTTGGAGATGTTGAAACAAGACAGATAATTCAAAGGAATAGAATTTACCCCAGATCCTTTTCAAGAAGTGGAATATAAACCTTAAACATTTTAATTGGGAACTCAAAAGTGTTAGAAACACTAGCTTGGAATACTAAAGATCAGCTAAGGCAGCAACACAAACATGAGATGAGTGTGCTGGGCTGAGATGAAACTAACTAAGGTCACTGACATCCAGCTGTTTTCCAGTCAGATGTCTGCTAGGGCATAGGGTCCCTGGCAGGTACTGGAGGGAAGGAAATCCCTAGATTTGCTCCCTTTTCCTTGTACCTGAGTGGCATCATTGAGTCCTGTCTATTTAAAAAGACTCATTGCCTAGGACAGCCCACCCAGCATGATGGCCCCACCTGTGATGTGTGCTTGGAGTCAGGAGGGGTATTGGGGGCCAAGGTGGGGCAACATAGCTCCTTCACAGACAGTAGGTTCTTAGCTCCCAGCCTGCTCCCTGAGTGCCTTTGGACAACTTGCTTCACCCCAGCTTTGTCATCTGAAATGTGAGATAATCATCAGAGTGCCTCTGGAAGGATTGAACAAACAAGACCGTGCAAAAGACCTGCTACTAGGCCTAGTGTGTGCTCTGTAGGTGGAAGCTGTCACCATCACGACAGTGTGACAGGAGCCAGTTTAGGACCTGAGCAGTGGAGGGATGTCAGTAGGTTCCAGGAACGAGGGTGGTACTGAGGTACAGCCTAGATGGAGAGAGGACACTGCCCCAGAAGCAAGGAAATGTGAGGAGGCATTGAGTCAGCTAGATGTAGGGCCACAGCTGCAGGCCAGCTGGAAGGAGGGCAGCACAGCCAGCATGAGAAGGCTTTTGCTCACCCAGTGATAGGAGGCTGTCCCCACGACGTTTGTGATGTATGGAGCTTATGGATCTGGGAGAATCAGTGACACTCCTGGCAGTCAGTAAGTTTGAGTGCAGCGATGGACAGATGAAGATTCAGTGCCTTCAGTATCCCCAGCCCTCAGTGTCAATTTATTGGTTCCATTTCTTATTTTTCTTACTATCTTCTCTGCTATACTAAGTGCCAGGCCTGAGCTACACCTCCAAGTGGAAGGTCCACTGGGAAGTAGAGTAGACTGTCCCCAGTCAAGCAGTGGTGGAGCTGACACACCCTTCTCCTGCTCTCTCCCAGCCTCAATGAGTCAATGTACTTGATCACCAAACAGCTGCAGTTCCTGTGGGGAGTGCCTCTCATCCGCACCTTCTTCAGTGACATCCTGAGCAAGAAGCTGCTGGAGCACCAGGAGCCAGCCCCTGCACAGCCGGCATCCCCACAGAATGTGCTTCCAGTGAAGAGTGAGTGGCTGAGCCAGTCTGCCAGGGCTCTTCTGGGCCCAAGGGCAGCTTCTGACTTCCATGTGGATGTTCCACTTTCTGCCATGCTCTAACTTCTCCCAGAGACTCCGAGTCTGCTTAAATCAAGTCCCCACTTAACAAAACAGTGAGGCCAGGGAGATACAAATCAGTGATCATGTACCTAGAATATCCACTGATGCCTATTCCATGAGGGCCATGTGACTATCTCTGAGCTTTAGTTTGGCCATGAGCTTTGTAGTAGCCAAAATGAAAAGGGTTATGTGCACTCCATTCTCGTCACCAGAAAGAAAGAAAGAAAAAGACCTGTTTCTTAGGGGATATGGTACTTTGCTAAGTTTTTAATCATAAAATGAATCCCATGTGGGGCTTCTTATAAAGAAGCCATTGAATCACAGACCAGCACCTCAGCAGCACCCTTACTGCAGGGTCAGAAGCAGTTACCATGGAAAGGTTTCTTGTTGCCCATTCTGATCAAAGTTAAGAAAATGCAAACTGGATGTGATGGCACACGCCTCTAATTCCAGCATTCTCAGAGGCTGGGGTAGGAGGATCACAAGTTCAACCCCAGCCTGGGTGACTTAGCAAGACTCTGTCTCAAAAAAAAACGGCTGGGGATATAGCTCATTGTGAAAACCCTGGATACAATCCCCAGTACAAAAAAAAACTAGGGAATTTATTTTATTTATTTATTTATTAAAATTTGGGGGGCAGGGTTTTGAGACAGGGTCTCACTGGGTAATTCAGGCAGGCCTTGAACTCGCTGTGTAGCCCAGGTTGGTCTCAAACTCATGGTGACCCTCCTGTCTCAGCCTCCTGAGTTCTGGGATTACAGGCATCCAGTACCATGCCCAGCCCCCAGAGAAATGTCTTGAGTCCAAGCAGCAGCCCCACTGGCTGGCTCTGTCTGTGAATGTGGACTTCTGTTGAAATGTTCTTCCCTTGACCTGATGGGATCTGACAGATGGCTGAACTTTTGCTTTCATTTCTTCTTTCCTCCATGCCAGGTCTCCTCAAGCGAGCATTTCAGAAGTCTGCATCGGTTCGGAATATTCTCAGGCCTGTCGGGGGTAAGCGCGTTGACTCTGCAGAGGTCCAGAAGGTTTGCGACATCTGTGTCCTCTACCAGACCTCGCTGACAACTCTCACCCAGATCCGCCTGCAGATACTCACAGGTTTGGCGTCCCACAGCTGCTGTGCTTCAAATTTGGCAGACTATTTTTCTTAGCAAAAGTTGACCTTTTATTTTCTTCTGGTTTCCTTGACTTAGAGAGTTGATTTTTGAAGGAGGGCAGTTTTTGAGCTATTCTTTTTAAGAGATTGGTAGGGCTTCCTTTAAGTAGCTCAAGCCAGCCTCATTGAGAGCACTTCTCATTTGTTCCTTACCTGGCTCTTATTTTATTTATGAAGTACAACTTTTAAAAAGTTATTTTTTCTGAGTAGAAAACTGGAAAAGATAGGGAGCAAAAACAAAATGCCACTCTTAATCCCACAACCCACACCCATTCCTGAGTGCATTGCACACATAATATAAATATATTTAAACTGACATACACCATTTTATTCTTTCTTTTCCATTGACCACTTCATAAGTATTTTATCATGTCAACAATTCTTCAGAAACCTCATTTTTATTGGCTGCATGGTATCTCATCTCATGAATAAGCGAAACATTTTCCTTTTTAGCTGAGCAAGGAAGAAAATCCCTCCTGTGAGCACAGAATTGGGCATTGAGGGCTTTTAAATTGCAGTGCAGGAGTCATTGGTATGAATTGGTATTATGAGTACAAAAGGTCCTTGCAAACTGTGAAAGTCAGTCACTACATAAAGGATTAAGAACTTCTGCATTGTACATTTTTTTAAATCCTAAATTACTGCTGCTTCTGCCTTTCACACTTAGTTATTCATTCTTCAAATACTTATAAGTACCTGTGCTTGCAAAGCACTGAGGATTCAGAAGTGAACAAGCTAAGTCAGGGTCTCTGCCCCCAAGAGTATTATAGTCTAGTAGTGGAGTGACATCAGTGTAAGTAGAGTAGATTGCCTAAAATGATGAACACCTTAAGAAACTGAAAACAAGGAGAGTCAGTGTAGACTTAGACTAGAGCAGGATTTCTCAGCCTTGGCAATATTAGCCTTTTGAGCCTGATAAGTCTTTGTTGTAGGGGGCTGTCTTTTGCAATGTAGGATATTTACCAGCCCCTGGCCAAGTAATTCCAGTCAAGTTGTAACAAGCATGTTTCCAGACATGGCTAAATGCCCCCTGAGAGGGGTTTGGTTGAGACCCGTAAGCCTAGTAATAGTGATAGAGATGGAAATGAGGAGGTTTCAAATGTGTTTTAGAGGTGCAGTCTCTAGTCTTACTGGTTGATTAGTTTTGAGGGCACAATGACTAAAGGTTTCCAAAGTGATGCTTGATTTTTGGCCCAAACTCCTGTGGATGGTGGCGCCGTTTGCTAAGCTGAGGAAGCCCATTCTGGGGACAGGGCCTGCAGGGACTTGAGAGTTGTGTTAGGCTGTGACAGGTACAGGCAGAGGTATCCAGAAGCCTTTGAGTGTATTGTGGGGGCATCAGCAGAGAGATGAAGTGTAAGGCCTGGGGCAGGCTCCCAAAAGAAAGACCAGAGGGAAGAGGGAAGGGAGGACACCATGCCGGGAGCTTCTTAGTACCTGAAGGTTTGGCAGCATCTTGGCTAAGAGGATTTTGAGATTACCACCTTTGTCTGCTTTGTGAGATGAGATCACATCTAAGCTCATTTTCCCAAGTAAGGCAATCCAAAAATAAGGTTTTTGGCCAACATGAAAGCACATACTTTTTTTTTTTTTTTTCTGGTACTGGGTATCAAACTCAGGACCTTGTGCTTGCGAGGCAGGCACGGTGTCACTGAGCTAAATCCCATGCTGAAAGCACATACTTTTAAGAGTGAAAGATTAGTCTATTCTTTTTTTTTTCTTTGGCGGTACTGGGGATTGAACTCGGGACCTTGCGCTTGCGAGGCAGGAGCAGTGCCACTGAGCTACATCCCCAGCCCTCTGAAAGACTAGTCTAAAATGTACATATGATATTCAGTCTATTAGTTTAGCTGTATATATCTTAAGTCAGATTATAGAACATAGCATATTTGTTTTAAAAATAGTATTTCTTTACTCCCACATTTTGTTCATGCTCCTCATGTGCCTTGACAGCACTAGAGCTCTGCTGGTCCTCTGACACCTCCCTCCAGGGCCTAGCATCCCCACTTCTGTCACTATTGAACCATTGTTTGTGGCTGTGACTATTTCAGTCTGCACCATGAGTCTCATAATATGAGGACAGTTGCTTTTCTTCTTTATAATCCCCACAATGTAACTACTTACTGTTTCATTTTTTAACCTGTTTTTAAATTAAGAGGTTTCTGTAGACTTTAGTGTGCATTTTAGACATGGACTGTCTAAAAACTAGTTATGAGCTGAGCACCTATATATCCATCAACCTAGTGAAGAAACTTTTGCATTTTAAAAGCTTCTTTATAACTACATTTTCCTAACCTTGAAAGTGTGAGATCAAACCTTTAGGAGTAATAACTCAATGGATTCTACATTTCTTTACCTCCTTTACAATTCCTTCAGTTCATCTCTAAGCATCCTTAAGTAGCATTGAATTCTCCACATGCCTCCTCCAGACTATTGTATCTTCCCCAAACAGTTCTTTCACAACTAAATAATTCAGTGTACTCTATAAAGTGAGAAGGCTCAAGTAGAAGTGACTGCTTTTCTGAGAAACATACCCTGCCATATGTTCAGCAACACATGGTGTTTCAGATCCAGACTTTCTAAGTCACTATGTATCTGCATTATTAGACTTAAAAATATACCAGTGATGTACCTCATGTGTCTGAGATCTTGTAGCCATCAGAAAGCTGACTTAGAATGTCCTCTGCTTCACCTTTTGCTTCCCTAGAGTTAGTCTTATATAATATGTCAGACTGTCTCTGCTACAATCATTCATTGCTTTCTCATTTTTAATACAGAATAATAGTAGTTGCCAGGAAAACTTTGCTAACTGAGGATGGGCCTGCAAGATGGTTTAAGGCAGGGGTCAGCCCATGAGCTAAAGCCAGCCCACTTCTTATTTCTATAAATAAACTTTTACTAGAACACAACTGAATTCATTCGTTTACATCACGTCTATCAGCTGCTTTTATGCTCATTGACAGCACCGAGCAGTTGTGACAGTGCTAACCTAACTTGGTTTGAAGATGCCTCCATACTCTTGAGTCCTTCCCTAATGAACATGAACCAAACTCTTAACTTAGCAGTCCACTGCCTTACTCAGCCGGCCACCTCATCCCACTCAAACCTTAAGTATGTAAACTAACTGAAAGCCTAACTTAAGGGAATACTTTTGTAACAAATAGCTGAGTCTAAGCCAGTCATAGCAGCAGTTTTCAGTCAACCATAGGCAGCCTGCTTACCAGAGCGTGTTCAAATAAGGAAAGTGCTGAGCTGTGATAAACGCTGTCTGCACACCTTCAGAGCAGAACTCTCTGAACCTGTTCTGATCCTGCTGACTGCATGGTATGTCACCTGTAACTCTGCTAAATTCAATTTGTCTCAAATTTTTATTTTAACAATAGAGATCATCTGGCCCATGAAGCCTAGCCCTTTCTAGAAAAACTTGCTGATCCCTGTTAAAACATAATTACTCACACTGGTCCGGGTTCTTTTCCTGGCTCTGACATTTATTGACTGTGTGGTCTTGGGCAAATCATTAAGCTTCTGTGTGCTTCAGTTTTGTCTCTTATAAAATGGAAATGACATTGCACTGGGCACCATGCTGCACACCCATAATCCCAGCTACTCGAGGCTGGCACAGAAGGACTGCAAGTTCAAGGCCAGCCTGGCCAACTTAGCCCCTGTTTCAAAATAAAAAATTTTAAAAGGCCCCAGGTTCAATTCCCAGTACAGGGAAAACAATGGGATGACATTGGGTTTCACAAGCAGAAATGAGCCAGTGCTTGCCAAATGTTTAAACTGGTGTCTGACACACAGTAAGCACCTATTAAGCATTAGCTGTTATTATCATTGTGATTCTCAGGGTGATAATGCTTGTCCTAATTGCACCTTCTTCTCACGCACATTAAATGATCACTAATGGATTTAAGTGTTTTGTTTTCCCATTGAAAAGGAGAAATAACAGATGAGACGGAGCCCCCACCTGAAGCTTGGGTTTCTCTATCCTTTTCCAGGTCTCACTTACCTTGATGACCTGCTGCCCAAACTATGGGCATTTATCTGTGAGCTGGGGCCCCACGGAGGCTTAAAGCTCTTCTTGGAATGCCTGAACAATGACACTGAAGAGTCCAAGCAGCTCTTGGCCATGCTGATGCTGTTCTGTGACTGTTCCCGGCACCTCATCACGTAGGTTGACTGCTGTGGGGCTGAGTACCTTTCCTAGAATTTACAGAGATCAAACTACAGTGTCAGGAAGCAAGTAATGGCTGACAATTACTGAATATATTAGGCAGGGTATGTGGCCGGGTCATTAGGAGAACTAGACGGGAGCACATGCCTATAGCCCAGCTACTTGGGAGGATGACATAGAATCACTTGACCTCGTGAGTTCCAGACCAGCCTGAGCAAGATGGTGAAACCCTGTCTCAAAAGAAAAAAATTAATGACAAGAAAACATTTGCAAAGCAAGCAGCGTGTACTAGGTGCTCAGGAATGGTTCCGTCTTTTCAGGACAGCTAGGTCGGTACCACTGAGTGTGGGCTTTGGGGTCTCCTGGAAATGGGTTCAAATCATAGCTCAGCCATTGATTCACTGTGCTGGGTAAATCACTCGAAAATCTGAGGGTCAGAGAGCCAGGGTCCAAAACCTGGCTCAGCCATTTACTGTGATACCCTGGGCAAGAGATCAAGGGATTCCACCTGTCTGCTCTGAGATTCTGTTTCCTCATCTATAAATTGGAATAACAACAGCACCCACCTTTTAGGCATGTGGTAAAGATGAAAAGAGATCATTAATGCCAAGTGTTCGGCACAGCCCTGGCACACTGGAGGAGTTTGTTATGTGCTGGCTATTATTGTTATTATCAAGCTGACCCTGGGCAAGTTGCTTAACCTCTCTTGAGCCTCTGTTTGCTTGTTAATAGAATGGAGGTAATATTACCGATGTGATAAAGGGTAAGTGAGAAAAGGAATGTCAGCTACTTAATAAAGTGAATAAAGTCTGGCACAAGGTAGGAAGTTAACAAATGGTTTGCTTCTTAAACTTACATGTTTACTTATATATTTGGCATTAAGTCCACCTTTTCCCAAAAGGTTGGTGAAGAATTGTAAGATAGAATGCACCTCAGGCAATTATGTGTAGCTACAAGACCTTAGCAGGAAGAGATCAGGGATGAGTAAGTGGAAGGTTGGGTAAGCATCGTGGAGGAAGGGGCTCAGTTTCCAGATGGAGGTGAGAGCAGACTCTGTAGCAGCTGGAATACACCATTAGTTGCTGAGTCAAAGGTAACCCAAGAGGGCCTGGGGATTTAGCTCAGTGGTTCCTGCGCCTACCTCAAAAGTGCAAGGTCCTGAGTTCAATCCCCGGTACCAAAAAAAAAGGTGACCTGAGAGTGAGTCAAATTCTAAAGTGTATTGAGTGGTTTTAGTAAATTTTCAGTTAGAGTTGTGTCTCACCTGTTCATTCATTCATAACTTCTTTCAGACATCTCTTCATTCATTCATAAATTCTTATCAGGTGTCACAGTGTCTGTCCCAGATGTAGACTAAGGCTCCACAACTTTTTCAGTAAGCACAGACTCAGTCAAGAGCCCTTCACATTCAGGCATCAGTGAGGCATGAATGCAAGCATAAAGTAAGGTGTCACAGATCTTTATGAGTAAGAGAAATACAAGCACAGAGCTTTTTTTTCCCCTTAATCTTTAAAAATCTTTTATTATGGACAATTTCAAATAAATAGAAAGTAAAATAATGAAACTTCATGTGCTATCACCAGCTCAGCAGTTTTGCTCCATCTAAATGCCTACTCACTCTCCTCAGATTTCTTTGAAGCAAATCTTAGACATTATATTTTACCTGAAGTATCTAAAAATAGAGCTTACTTAACATTATTTGTTTCCCCTAAGAAACTGTAAGATAGCATATTATTTTCCTTCTCTTGAGAAATTCTGAATAATTTTCTGACTTAGGATCCTTGATGACATTGAAGTGTATGAAGAACAAATTTCATTCAAACTGGAAGAGCTGGTCACCATATCCTCTTTTCTGAATTCCTTTGTGTTCAAGATGATCTGGGATGGAATCGTAGGTAAGGTAAAGGTATCCACCATCGTTTCACTGATGCTGAACCCAAGGAGGCTAAAGAGTCTGTAACATCAGCTGGTTCTTAGCTTTATTGTTTACCAGTTAGTAGAAAATGCACATTTATTCATATGACTGGAAGTTTTAATTCGCAGTCTCTCTGACCTCTTTTTTGTTTTTGCAGAAGTCTCATGTCTCACTCTCCCAGGCATCCTTCAGGACTTGCATATTTGTGTCAAAGATTATTAATGATGATTCCCTTTACCCTGACTCTCCTTTTGATTACTGATGTTGATTTCCATGAGGATAAAATGTGTGCCAGATGAGAGTCCACCTCCTGAAGTGTTTCCAGTTGCACAGTACTGCGCTCCTTAGAGTAAAAGCTCCTTTGGGTGGTGTATGGTAGAAGGCAGTGTGAGTGACTGTCTAAGAGATGCCAGGCCCTGCAGACATTTAGGACATTCTCAGAGGGTCTTTTAATCCCTTGAGTTCCACGGACATTTCAAAGCAAGAGAGTTAGACTTGCTGAGGGTCTCAGGAGACAAGGACTGTCCTCCCTCCCCTCCACCTCTCACCCCTCTCCCACAGATGTGACTCACCTGTTTGTTTCCTCCATAGAGAATGCCAAGGGTGAGACTTTGGAGCTGTTCCAGTCCGTCCATGGGTGGCTAATGGTGCTGTATGAGCGGGACTGCCGGAGGCGCTTCGCCCCTGAGGACCACTGGCTGAGAAAGTAAGCATCAGGGTAGAGAGAGGCTCGTGGCAGCTGGGGCCTCTGTCATGGCCCATGGCGGAGGGCCTTTTTTCCTCCATCCTGTCCATCCATCTGCAGAAAGAGCTCCTTTGCTATGACGCACCTGTAAGGGTGCATCATCTAGCACCCTTCTATTACACTAGTATGATTAGAGTTAATTAAGGGCAACAAAGCCAGACCACTCTCAGAAGGTGTTTCTTATCCAGACTGAGATGAGAAGGTCTTTGAGTTGATCTGAGTTATCGGGTGTGACAGTTACATGGCAGGTTTTTATCAGCAGAATGACCAGGGTCAAAACTGCTTTCAGGGTTTTTTTTGTTGGGGGGGAGGGGGATCCTCTGCCAGTGCCTAAACAAACTTAAGACCATGTCAGGTTGGGCATGGTGGTGCATGCTATAATCACAGCACTCTGAAGATCACAAGCTCAAGCAACTTAAATTCATGAGACCCTGTCTCAAAATTTTAATTAAAAAGAAAAGGTTGGGGATGCAACTCAATGCAAAGGCCCCAAGTTCAATTGTGTATAGCACCACCACTGCCCCCATAAAAAGATGTCACCATTGCTAGAGATGACATGTCACCTCTGGAGCTCTGGCACCAGAGCAGGACCTCGAAAATGCTATAAGTGGCCAGATAGTCTTAGGTGCTGTGGACCAGTCTGTGTTGCAGCTGCTCCCTCTGCTGTTGTAGCATGAATGACAACAACTAGGAACAGTGAATATGTGAATGAACAGGTGTGGCTGGGTTCCCATAGAATTTTCAAAGGCAAGATTTGGCCCCCTCCACTGGTTTTCCTGTTTTAATAATCAGTAACTCATATCTTTTTAAGGGATCTCAAACCTAGTGTGCTCTTCCAAGAACTTGACAAGGACCGGAAGCGCGCCCAGTTGATCCTGCAATACATCCCTCATGTCATTCCTCACAAAAACGTGAGTGGCACTCAGAGCTGGGCTCCTAACATGTTCTTCTGTTCCACATGGTTCTTGACCTCTCATCCTGTGATTGCAGTTTGAAATGAATATATGACATCATTTAGTTTGCGAACACAGTGGTGATCTATCTTACCCTGTAAGTCTGTACTGGGTGCTAGGGCTGCAGAGATGGAGAAGGCAGTGTCAACCAGCAATTCAGGTGCAGTGGTACATGTGCTGTGGGAATGGGGGAAATAGGTCAGGAGAGAGCACCACAAGTGAAAGTGCATAGGACTTAAAGGCCAAGGGTGAGAGAGAAGGGAGATGTATGGTGTGGTTGAAGAGGTACATAGAAGGGAATCAAATGGAGCTGAGGAAGTTTGTAGGAACTAGAACAAGAAGGGCCTTAGCAACCAAGGCTAGCAGCTTGGATTTTAACCAAAGCCATTACCAGATTTTAAGCATAGGAAGCTCCTGGTCAGAGCTATATTTTCTTTTTTCTTTTTTTTTCTTTTTCCTCAGTACTAAGACTTAAACTCAGAGTCTCACACATGCTTGACAGATGCTATACCTCAACCCTTTTTTTTATTTTTGAGCATCTCAGTAAGTTGCCCAGGCTGACTTTGGTCTCTCAAGTAGGTGGGATTATAGGCATGAACCAACACATCCAACTCAGAGCTATAATTCAGAAAGAACATTCTGGCTTGATGTAGAAGACTGTCTAGAGGCAGAGCCATTAAAGCCAGCTGGCCTGCACTAGGGAGGGGCTGTTGGGATAGAATAGTGATCAAGCCAAAAGACATTTAAGAAGCTAGCACCTAATGCCTTGGAGACTGACATTCAGAGAGCCAGGAAGGGGGAATAGAGGTAGTTTCTGGATTATTGCCTGGAGTTGGGAGCACTGTCCCTGAAGAAGAAACAGAAACAGGGCCTGGTCCTGGACATGGTGGTGAGTTCAGCTTTAAGTGGGTAGGATATGAGGTAGCTGTGGTCCCTGGTGGCTCTAGAGCCTAGGAGAAAAGCTGAGGCTGGAGGGAGACTGCATGTGGGCAGCTCCCAGCTCTCCTGCCTGCACTTACCAACATGAGGGAGGAAATCAGACCTTGGGAGAGGGCTAGGCTCATTTGACATGTCACTTGAAAGGCTGCTAAGAGGAGAGGAGGAATCCAGGGAAGGAACGAGACCAAGAGAGTGTTATGCCGAGCCCAAGGGGATGAGAGAGACTTGAGAAGGGTCAACCGCTGTGGCAAGAGTGTCCAGAAGGTGCAGAAAGTATTGTTCCCATCCCTGGTGAGCAGTGGGCACTCTGCACTGCCTGCTGACTTCTATGACCATATTGTGCCTTTTCAGGAGAGGCTCCCAAGAGCCTAGCGGTGCCTTTTCTTGCCTGTCCTCTATTTTTTTCTTTCTCTTTTTTTCCCCCAAAATAGACATAGTTTTTGAAAAGAGCATAAATCCCATTTTTGTAAATTAAATCTCACTTTTCATAGGTACTTAATCCTCACTACTTTTTAACACTATTGTGACTTTGATTTTAGTACTTAGAGTTGCTATTCATTCCTCTTAAGCAGTCATATGCTGCTGTTTAAATTTTTATTGCACTGGGCACACTCAGAAATGAGGGTCCTACAGGTAATTGCTTAGTCAAAAGTGTCTCCTTGAGGGAGCCACACACACACAATTCCTCTGACTCTGCCTTGGATAAGAAACGCACAGCTGGGATTCATCCCAGAGATGTAGGGATGGTTCAGCATACTCAGGTCAATAAATGTAATACACTATATCAACAGAGCCAAGGACAAAAATCATGTGATCATCTCAATAGATGCAGAAAAAGCATTCGACAAAATCCAACACACATTCATGATAAAAACCCTACAAAAAATTGGAATAGTTGGTCTCTACCTCAACCTGACAAAAGCCATTTATGAAAATCCAACAGCCAATATCATACTAAATGGTCAAAAACTGAAATCCTTCACACTAAAATCAGAAACAAGACAAGGATGTCCACTATCACCACTCCTGTTCAATATAGTTTTGGAAACATTAGCCACAGCAATTAGACAAGAGAAAGAAATAAAAGGAATAAAGATAGGAAATGAAGAAGTTAAATTGTCGTTATTTGCAGATGACATGATACTCCATAGAAGACCCCAAGAACTCCATCAAAAGTCTTCTAGACTTAATAACTAAATTCAGGGGCCAGGGATTTAGCTCAGTGGTGCCGCTGCCTACCTCGGAAGCACAAGGTCCTGAGTTCGATCCCCAGTACCAAAAAAGAAAATGACCAAATTCAGTAGAGCAGCTGGATACAAGGTCAACACACAAAAATCAATAGCTTTCCTATACACAAACAATAGACTCACTGAAAGAGGAACTGGAAAAATATCTCCCTTCACAATACCATCCAAAAAAATGAAATACCTAGGAATCAACCCAACAAAAGAAATCAAAGACCTCTACTCTGAAAGCTATAGCACTCTGAAAAAAGAGATCAAAGAGGATATCAAAAAATGCAAAGACATCCCTTGCTCCTGGGTAGGAAGAACCAATATAGTGAAAATGGCCATACTTCCAAAATTGATTTGAAGCAGTGTAGATTTGATATAGATTTGATGCAATCCCAATTGAAATTCCAGCAGCATACTTCACAGACCTTGAGAAAACAATCCAAAAATTCATTTGGAACAAGAAGAGATCTAGAATAGCAAAAGCAATTCTAGCCAATAAAGACATGGCAGGGAGTATCACAATCTCCAACTTGCAACTGTATTACAAAGCTACTATAATAAAAACAGCATGGTACTGGCAAAGAAACAGACCCAAGAACCAGTGGAACAGACTAGAAGATGTGGAAACAACTCCAGGCATACTCAGCCACCTCATCTTTGACACCCTCACTGGAGGAAAGATAGTCTCTTTAATAAATTGTAATGGAAAACTTGGGTTTCAACTTGCCAAAGATTAAAACTAGACCTGTATCTCTCACCATGCAGTAAACTAAAATTGAATGGATTAAAGATCTAAATATTAAAACGGAAACACTAAACCAGCTGGAAGAGAGGTTAGGTAGAACTCTTGAAGACATTGGCATAGGAAAAGATTTCATAAACAAAATTCAGTTGCATGTGAACTAGCACAATCAACAAGTATCTCTTCTTATTAAAAAGCTGCACAGCAAGAGAAAGCACCAACAGTATGGAGAGTCAACCCACAATGTGGGAAAAAATTTCTACCAGCTGTTCCTCGGACAAAAGTATCTAGAATGTATAAAGAACTTAAAAAAATCAGGCCTCCCAAATGTAAAGACCCAGTCCAAAAATGAGCATCTGAAATGAAAGACATTTCTCAGACAAAGAAGTAGAAATAGCAAATAAACATATGAAAAAAATGTTCAATATCACTGGTCATTGGAGACATGCAAACGAAAACAATGCTGAGATTCCACCTTACCCCAGAATGGCTGCTATCATGAAATCAATAACAAATGCTGGCGTGGCTGTGGGGGAAAAGGAACCCTTCTCCACTGTTGGTGGGAGTGTAGACTGGTGCAACCACTGTGGAAATCAGTATGGAGATACCTCAAAGAACTAGGATTGGAGGTCCCATTTGACCCAGCTATTCCCCTGCTAGGTATCTTCCCAAAAGAATTAAAAGAATCATACCACAGCCATATATGTGTACCCATGTTCATAGCAGCACAGTTTGTAATCACTAAAACTTGGCAGCCCAGTTGCCCATCAACTAGAGACTGGATAAAGAAAATGTGGTTTTTTTATAAAGTGGAGTACTGCTCAGCCATAAAGAAGAAATTAGAGACATTTATAGCTAAATGGATGCACATTAAGGCAGTACTCTTAAGTGAAATGAATAAGACACATGTGTAAATACTGAATAGTTTCTCTGGTGTGAGAAATTGAAAGTGTAAATAAGGATCAAAAGGTATAATAGATAAGGTGAAATAGGAAGAAAAGGTACAAAGGGGAAGGAGAAGTAGGAGGGCTAGGGAAAAGGAAAGAAGGGAATGGAATTAATATGAGAAAAAGAAAAATGGAAAAGTCTTTGTAAATAGGGGTGGAGGGATCGAAGAGAGGGCAGGGGAATGGAGAAAAATAAGAACCAAGATATATTATGTAAAGGTACAAATTTCCAATGATGAATGTCATATTGTGTACCTAAAAATGTACCAATAAAATTTAAAAAAAAAAAAAAAGAAAGAAAGAAAACTTTGCAAAGCAGGCTGTCTGTGGCTGTACTCTTCCAAAAACAGCATTCTTCATCTTAAGCTGATCGCATTCTCTGTAACTTCTACTGTTGGACCCTGAACAGCTAGCCCTTAAATATGGTTATCTCTAGCCTGAGGACTGTCTCCTGAGGTTCGCAAACAACTCCCATTTCCCTTCTGAGTCTTTGTTTTCCAAGTGTAGCAGTTTTTATTTCTGAGCTATTGCTCCTTTGAGGTAGTCTCCAGCCACTCATCTCCTGGGCTGCCTGTGGTTTGGTGGTGTCTGATTTTAAATGTGGCTCCCCATCCTGGACCTGTGTTTCCGTGAACTCAGCCTTTGACCTTTGCCTTCCATATGCATAGTCTGGAGTCTCTACTCTGAACATGTACAGTGGCATTGGGGCTTGCCAAAGGATATTTACATCTTTGAGAGGAATGCAGTGTGAACTACTAGTTTAGAGTAGTTTGTGGTTTTAATATTCATTTGTACTGTCTGTGCATCCAGGCCATATGCTAACCTTTTTTTTTCTCTTTTGGGAATTTTGCTTAAGATTACCATCAAGACTATTTGCTATTGGCTCCTGAAATTCCCTGCCTTGGGGAGACAGGGTCCTTCCTCATCTCCTGGACCTGTTCTGGTACCTGTGGTTGCACAGCAAGTGCACAAGAGCTCCTGCTGTCTCCAGCCATCTGCAGCCTCACTTCCCTCAGGATTGGGAGGTTGCAGCTGCTCTGAGAGATACTACAAACTCTTATATATTGTTAAGTGGTAACACTCACCCACAACCGCCACAGGGTTAAGTGGGTCCTGCTGGAGTGCACAGGACTGTAGTAAGATCTTGCTCTCATCCATTACCATTGCGCCATCTGCCCTAATTGTCGAGCCCGTCCCTTGCCCTTGATCTTACTCCAGTGGTGATTTATAATGCCTTTCCTGGTCTCCTTAATGATTTTTAAAGCCTCAGCTCTATCTTACTCATACAGCACTTCATTCTCTGTGCTTGCTACCAGTTTATGCTCTAACTGTGACTTAAGGTCTTTCCATGGATCTGGTCCCCCTGCTTACTAGCTGTGTGACTTTGGGTGAGTCAGGGTGTCAGCTGCAGAGTGAGGATAATGATGCTTAGCCAGATGTCTGCTGGGTTGTTGAGGTTTCCAGCCATTCAAAGCTGGATGAGCTTCCTTTGAAGCTTCTTCCACATCCTATGGGAATCCAGAGCCTGATCCGGGCTGTCTGTGATTCCTGAGAGACTGGTACTGCCATGCCCCTGCAGTTCTGCTTCTGTGTAACTGCCCCAGTGGATTGACTGGATAGGACACTCATCTTCGACCTCATGCTCCACAAAGTAGCTCCCCTCGTTACAGTGATCATGCTAAAGATTTGGGGTCACAAGAAGTAGTCATGTCACGTACCACACAGCTCCCATGACTTAAATACTCATATAGCTCCCTGTCCTAGAAGAGAGTGGTGGGAGTGTTCTTTAGCTGCATGACCCGCCCACCTCATTGAGTCCTCAATCCCTCTCCCTTCTGGGTGGCCCTGGCACTCTCAGAGCTTGTGGTATTATTCAGAGCACTTCAGTCTTTGTTTCTAAACTTGCAGTGCCTCCCTGAACAATAGTCCCTCTGCCAAATGCCTTCCCCCTCCCCGTCTTAAAGGCCATTGACAATTGTTTCTTCTGTTTCAATCGTATTTTCCTCAGAATTAATATAAGGATTAAGTGAGCATATGCTAGTCTCCCCCCTCCATAGTGCACCCTATTACTATTGTTCTTATTGCCATTTTTACTGTTCTTATTTATGTTTACTAAGGCTCTTGACTTTCAGGGAAGATTCTCATTTGAAATTAAAAAGCACCTGTGGCTGTCATGTGCATTTATTCAGCTGACTTCATTCTCAAGCCCAGGATCGTTCAAAGGATCATGGTTTTCTGAAGGGGCTCCTGGTTGGGCACCATGGAGCAGGCCTGTAGTTCTGCAACTCAATAGGCTGGGGCAGAGGGATTGCTCTAGCCCTGGAGTTTGAGGCCAGCTGGGACAACACAGCAAGACCCCATCTCTTAAAAAAGTAAAAAGTAAAGGCCTCTTCAGAATCTTAAGGCTAAGGGCAGACTGTCCTATTCAAGTCTTCATTGAGAAATATTAGTGGGACAATGGTGTACTTGGGCTACAGAGGAGGCGGACAGAAAGGCCAGGAACTTTTGTACTGTGGGATCATCTTTTCATGTCTGACAGTCAGAAAAATTGCCTGAGTTGTTTCTGTGTTTTTAACTCATAGTATTTTGATTTCCTCTGAAGCAGGCGCAGCTGTGAGAAGCGCCTCTGTACCTTGCTCTGCCACCCAGTTTCTGTGGTGGGTTATTTACTGCGTGAGGAGAATGATTTTCTCCTGGACTGTTCCTAGCTGGGCTCCTGCTGCAGCTTGACTACTTTTTCTGGAGCACTTCTCCCTTGGCATGAGTTCAGCTGTATTTCTAATTTCCAGAAGTGCTCTTGAGAATGTTTAATGTTCTCACAAGACACTATGACCAACAGCACATATCAAGGCATCCCATTCTGGTTGCATCTTAATTTCAGTAATTCTGCAGAGTGGTTTTTGTGGAAATATCATTTGTTGACTCTGTTTCTGTCGTGTCTCCCCCACCCTTGCTCATTTCAGAGAGTTCTCCTATTCCGAAACATGGTTACCAAGGAGAAAGAAAAACTGGGGCTTGTGGAAACCAGCTCTGCTTCCCCTCATGTCACTCACATTACCATCCGACGGTCCCGGATGTTGGAGGTAAGTGGCAAGGCCTGCAGAAGCTGATTGTAAAGAAGTGTGCTCTGTCACATCAGCCCTGTAGTGGATGATCTTTTGTCTCCAAACTGTTCTCAGCATGCCTTGGCCTCATGATCCTGAAATCAAGGCTCCAGGAGCAGACAGGGACCGTTTGTCCTGTAGATTACTCTGAGTAACTGCTAGGTTAAACATACTCTGAATGCTGGGGACCGACCATGTCTTCTTTTATCCCTGACAGTCTCTGGACTAGAGTGTCAGAGTCCTCATGCCTCTTTCAAATGAGGACAGGAAATCAACTGCAGTGGCTACACTGCTGTTTCCAGGTCTGTACAGACTTCTTTTCCCAGCAGGCACTTTACCCATACTCCTGCCTGAGAAAGTGGTACAGGTGGAATGGGGTGTTACGCTGATTGAGCCATGCAGAGATATGTTTATCACAGAGCTGGAAGGTCTTTCTACATGTAAACTTACAAGATACAAGGAAAGTTGCCCACCGAAGCCAGACCCAGTGTCCGGAGTCACCAGTATATGGCAACTTCATGTAAAGTAGAAATATAGTGGTACCTCAGTTCACGAATGCTTTTGTTTGCAAACAATTTAATTTCCAAACAGAAGCATTTGGCAAAGTTTTTTATTTGTTTGTTTGTTTGTTTGCAAACTCTGCATTGGGTGACAAACATGACCACAGCCATCTTTTATGCATGAACAGGAACATGGCCATTTTTCCCCAGAATTGTGGAACAAATTAAGTTGTGAACCAAGGTACCACTGTAGTTGCCCTGTCCTCAAATGCGTATCTCTGTATGTCAGAAAATTATCATATTGATTTCTTATGAGGTGAGTGGCAAGGCCTGTGAGAGCCTATCACAAAGTATGCTTTGCCAAGTTAGGATTTTTCATACGCTAACAACAGTCTGCTGAAACACTGTCATAGTAAAATGGGTGTCCCTAAAATAAATTTTTTTTTAATTTTTTAATTAAAATTGTAAATAAAATGGGTGTCCCTTACAACAGCTGTCCCAGTCATGCTACACCCTTCCAGGGGTTGGATAGTGCACAACCTACCCATTTTGTGCTGATCCTGCCAGCAATGGCATTGATGTTTGAGCTGCAAGTCTGCATTCCTAGGAGAGGCTTGGCTTGATTTATTTGCCACATTTGCTCTTTAGACCTGGTATCCCACTCTGGCCACAGTTCCTCATCTGCACGTTCTGTCAGTATAGACAGTCAAGGGGTCTCATGCAGCCCAGGGCCACATAGCCACCCACCAGCACATGCCACCAGACAGCAGCCCTTCCTCCCATATCTTCATCTCTCCCACAGTGCAGCCACACCACGCTTGTGTTGCTTCTTACCAGAGAGCTTTTAGTTCCCCTGACCCTGGTTATTGACACCAGGAGCCGTTGGAAAAGATGGCATGTGTTAAATAGTTGATGTTTTTGACATTCTTAAAAGTAGAGATAAGTCAGGCGTGGTAGTGCATGCCCTCAGGTGGCTGAGGCAGAGGATCACGATTTTGAGGCCAACATGAGCTACGTACCGAGTTTGAGGCTACGTAGCAAGACAAAATAAAGTTTTTAAAGTAGCGATACGGGCACTCAAGTGCTATGAATTAATTTTGTAAGGCACCTGGAAGGTTGGATGATTCCCACTGAATTCAACCTGCGGGCCACTGGTTTGCAACCTCTCCTTTTATTCAAAGAAAGAAGCAGCCTTGGGCTGGGGATTTAGCTCAGTGGCGCCACACCTGCCTCGCAAGCACAAGGTTTTGAGTTCAATCCCCAATCCCCAGTACCAAAAAAAAAAAAAAGCAGCCTCATTGTGTTGTAAAACTCCCTTTTCTGCCACTTCCTTCCTCAAACCCGAATGCAGCCCCCCTGTGTCTCAAAGTCTTCAGTCCCACAACCATCACACCCCTCAGATGTAGGCAGCACCCATCCCAGAAGAGTGTAGTGTAGCCTGTAGTGTCTCCTGGAAATGGTGAGATTGCTTAGCTCCCTCCTCGAGTGGCATTGCTAATAGGAAATCACTCGGCAACCTGGTTCTGCTGGGCTGACCCCTTAAAACCCACCCCTCAGGGATGGCATGGGAAGAATGTCACTCTTAGGTTTTCTTCTTTCCTTACTGTGAGAGAGAGCATAAAGTGTACTTCATCATAAATTGAATCAAGAAGAAGGGAAGAGGGGCATTTTATTCAGTGATCTAGTGGTTTGGATATTAGAATGACAACCCAGTGGCCTTTGCTTAATCTGAACACAAGGGAGTATCAAAAACCTAACATCAGTTGTCCTGGGCTTTTTTTTTTTTCCCCCAGTACTGGGAAATGAACCCAGGGCCATCTCACTGAACTATCCCCAGACCTTTTTATTTTTTGAGACACGATCTCCCTAAGTTGCCCAGGGTGAGCTCAAACTTATGATCCTCCTGCCCCAGCCTCCCAAGTGCTGGGACTACAAGCATGAGCCATCATGCCCAGCTTGTGCTGAGTTTTTATTTTGCCTCCTGCTTCATGGCCAGCATGAAAGGCCATGCTTCTAGGAGGCTCACAGGTATTGGTCCAAGTCCAGCAGCAAAGCTACCTCCTGAACAGTGAACCAAGGCTGGAGCTTCAGAACTGGAAGGAGCTTGCAACATACTTTTACCCATCCATTGCCTCTTACCCTGTCAGAGGCAGACCTAAGGCCAGAGAAATTTAGATTCTTCGTCATTTTCCCTCAGCTACCAGTGATAGAGCCAGGCCTCTGTTTGCTAGCTCAGTGTTCTCTGTGTTGCACATCAAGATGCAGTAGTGAGAGGAACATTGGGCTCCCACTTGCCTTCCAAGAGATATGTGTATAATCCTCAAATAGCCACTCCTGCTCCCAAAGGGCAAGAAATAAATCAGGAGACGGGGGCAGATTTCTCTCTACAACTTTTTAAAGAGGTTGGTATGGGCCTGATCAAGCAAGACTGAGATCTGAATTCCACATTCTTTGAATCCAGCCTCATGCTAAGTGCTTCCCATGTGTCATCCCCTTTAATCCCCCAAGTCTCACACATCTCTGCTGAGAGGATTATGGTTGGGAAGTGTGACTTTAAAGCAGAATGGAGAAATCTGCACACCCTCAGGAACGTATTGGAATCTTCCACCCACTATCAACACAGTGCCAACAAAATGATCTTCAGTTAGCCTACAGCTGCTAGGTGACATCCTGTTTCTCCATTTTTTCCATCTGACTTAATGGTTCTCAGACTTCTTGTGCATAAAAAGTACTTTTCGTGTGCACATGTACAAAACCATGTTCCTGTTTCTGCTGATGATCTAAGAACTTCAGAGGTCATTTCTCCTTAGCTCACTAACGTGGGAGCCTAATCCCTGGTAAGATTCAGAGGCCCCATCCAAACAGTCCTTTAGATCACTAAGTGAGCATGGCAGGAAGAGACCAAAGGTCCCACAAGTCAGAGCCCAGACTGGTAGATTGCTCATTTGCTTTGTGGTAAAGTGACCAGACTGGCAGATGGGTAGATGCTATGAGATGGTCTATATAAAGTCAGCAAAACATATAACAGTGCTGCAATTGTGACTAAAAGGGAGACATGTGGCCTCAGTAGCATATTAAGGTTGATTTGTTACTCACTATATGGTATTATCTAAAGAGAGCAGTTTCACTCTGATAATGGGGCCTCTCATGTTGGCCAAAGGACTCCTCCCTGGCCTCTGTCCTGTTCGATTTTTATAATCACTGCTCAGAAATAAAAACTTCAACACACCCCAAATACCAGTAATGCATTGGATGACAGAGTCAGAAGCTAGGAAGCCCCTGACAGATTAGAATCAAGAAACACACTCTAGGCCAGGGATTTAGCTCGGTGGTTCCGCTGCCGCCTTACAAGCACAAGGACCTGAGTTCGATCCCAGGTACCAAAAAGAAAAAAAGACACACTCTAAAGTTTAGTAGGAGAATTCTGAAGCTCTGCTCTGGGGGCTATGTGTGTCGAGTTCTGGAAAGGGAAGATACAATGATTAAAACCACAGCCTTGTGCATGCTAAGCACACTCCTTACCACTGAGCTACATCCAGCAAATGGCTGTGTTTTGAAGGAGCTGGACACAAGCTGGAGGTGTGCTGAGGCTTCTCCTCCTCACTGTTTTGGCCCTCACCAGGCCCAGCATCACTCCTATACCTTGGGCTCTCTGCTTCACTCCTTATCCTCTGCTATCCACCTGTTCTACCTCCAGTAGAGCTTTCTAGACAGAAAGCCAACCATGTTGCTCCCTGCCTGAATTCTTATGACCCTTCTCCTACTTGTCCTCGGGATATAACTTTGATACCTCAGCATGACTCATAAGGTTCTGTTTGATCTGGAAAAGGGCACCAGGAGCTGAGGGCTGAGGAATACTTGCATTTTTCATTTCATAGTGTTCCATAAGTTTGACTTTTTCCCCATGAGCTAAAACATCACTCTTAGCATTAAAAGAGGGGGAGATCCATCTTGTCCTGGTTTCTTCCATTTTTTGTCTAATGGCCAAGAGCTTGTCATGACTCATTTTGTCTGATTCCCTGTCTGGCAGCTCCGCATCCTCTTGAGGGCAGTCTCCTCTTGCCAGAGAGCAAGGCCGTCACATCCCTAGATGAATCTTTCCATTGAATAGGCTCTCATTCAAAATCAAGTGAGAACCACTTCTTTTCTTGTGTGCTCACATGTCCTGGCTTGCACATTTGGTAATTGCACTGGGAAAGCTTCCCACAGGGGGAGGGTAGTCCTTGGGGAAGGAGCCCTGAATTATGCCATGGACCCTAATAGGCTGTAATTCTGCCCTTGGCAGGATGGTTATGAGCAGCTGCGGCAGCTCTCCCAGCATGCTATGAAGGGTGTGATCCGGGTGAAGTTCGTCAATGACCTTGGAGTGGATGAGGCGGGGATTGATCAGGACGGTGTGTTCAAGGAGTTCTTGGAAGAGATGATCAAGAGGGTGTTCGACCCAGCACTCAATCTGTTCAAGGTGACTAAGTGGATGTGAGTGGGGTTGGCGGCAGCAGAACATGAGGTGTCAGAGAAGTAAGGACAAAGCATGTAACCTCTACCTCTCCCTGTCCTTTTGCCTGGCAGACAACCAGTGGGGATGAGCGGCTGTATCCTTCGCCCACGTCCTACATTCACGAGAATTACCTGCAGCTCTTCGAGTTTGTGGGGAAGATGCTGGGGAAGGCTGTGTATGAGGTAGGCACACTGGGCACTATGGAGGAGAAGTATGAAATGAAATGTGAGCAGCGCTGCTGACTTCATGTATGTGTATGGGATCAGGCCCAACTGTGTAAAGAGCCTGACATTAGAGTAAAATCAAGGCCAGGGACAAGAAGCAACATTTGTTGATGTAAACTGTAAGACCGAGGGCCTTACCAAACGCTCCGAGGAGCTGACTGTAGTGAAGAACACCCGGGAAGGAACACACCTGACAAGTTGGAAAAGTAAAACAGACCTTTATTAGTCTGGCCAGATGGCACTCTCCAAGCAACAGGCTTAGAGAGGGCCTCGAGTTCAGGGGGTTGGAAGGTTTTATAGGGGCTGCAGGGGTGCTTAGCAAGCAGAATTACAGAAGCGGAATTTTTGCAGTTAGGGGACGGTTGCGGGGGGTTGGTTTGCAGATGTTCTTTACTTAGCAAACAGGATGTTCCTTACACAGAAACAGTGGTACATTCCTGGTGTCTTAACCGATAAGCAAGTACATCCCGGGAACTCTTGTGTCCTGTAGTGAACCGGAAACCCACAGGGACAAGATGGAGGGCCTGTAAAAAGATGACGTTACTTGTGCTAAGTCTCATCTGGGTCTTACATTCCCCACTGATTTTATGCAAGCAAGTAATCTTACGCTCGGCTTTCTTTATCAAGAGGTACTGGACAGTACCTAGCCTGTTGGTTTAGAACCATTAGGCGAACAGATCCTACCCGGGCCCTTACATGGGCCATAAGTTTATTAATAATGCATGGGCTGAAAGTCAAAGCTAGTAACAGGATTAACAGGGGTCTGGCAAGGGCAGAAACAAGGGTAGTCAACCAGGGAGACGAGTTAAACAAAGACTGGTACCACCCAGAATTTTCTTTTAATCTGTCATATTTTTCTTGCAAATGTTTGTTTCCTGTAGCCAGGGTGTCTCGAATAACTCCTGATTTATTGGCATAATAACAGCACTGTTCTCCTAAGGCTGCACACAGCCCGCCTTCTTTCATGAACAGGAGATCAAGACCTCGGCGGTTCTGGAGGACCATTTCCGCCAAGGAGTCCACTTGTCTTTTTAGATGGGATACTGATTTAGTGATCAGGCCCAAGTCTGTTTTCACCTGTTGAGTTAGGGCCTTAAAGTTGGCATCTTGCACCACCAATGCTGCTGCTCCTAGGGCTGCGGATTCTATAATCCCTCCTATAGCCAGTACTGGGATGAGGGCAAGATGACGCTTTATTCTTATAGGGTGGACTTTCTTGGTCAACTATTTCCATCCCTGTTCTCCACCATATATAAATACCTGGGGCAAGATGTGGACCAGCACACAAACCTTGGGCTCCCTTTGTAGGACAGCAACAGAGAGGCAAGGGGTTATGCCTCCTGTGTATGCCCACCATGAGTTGTTTTCTGCCCTTAGGTACTTATCAGGTTCTGTAGAAGCTGTTTGGTAAAAGCAAGCACTGTCCAAGTAAGATGAGGTGACCTTAGGGTTTTTAACGCATGACCCTCTTCCATGTATATCCCCTATTGACAACCTCGTCTGTTTCCAATCACACCCATCTTGGCTGGTTTCAGTGTAAGTTCCATTGATTGCTATTCCTATATAATATGGGGGCTTTGGGTTTAGACACATCCAACATTCATTAGTAACACTGTTTGATCCATTTAACACCATAAACATAGCATCCAGCATTTTTAAGTATGGTTGGATTGGCAACTCTGGGGCAGTTATGGGCACCTTGTTGGGTAGGGTGTTACCCGGGTGGCCGGCGGGGTGAGTGTGTGTTTTCTTTCTCGGCAGTGAGGAAGTAGAATTTCCTCGACGCCTGTGGGGTTGGCCACTGTCTTTTGGGGGGCTCAATATCTTATAAAGGTTTTCCACTGGTTTGGGCGGTGTCACTACCGGACTTCGCTGAATGATCATGTCTGTCATCGGGTCCTGTCCATTTGTATTCAGTGTCACCGTCCAAGATTTACCTTCCTCCCATTCTTTGTATGGATTTTGCCATTGTTTTAGCATTAACCAAATGGGGTTACAGTGTCCCAGGGAGCATGAGCTACTAGCTGTTTGCCGCTCCAAGGCTCAATACTGGTCATTATTTTTTTCATGGGGCTGTGGACTCGCAGCCCCAGTAGTAACAGTGGTATCCTGGCCGCCCATTACATTTTGGGTCATTACCTATGGGACATGTATAAATATCTATGATCTGGAGACCCCTTTCTCTGTTAAGTGTAGACCATCCCCGTTTTCCCCCAGGGGTTGAAGGGGGATCTGAACATGGTCCTGCAATATCAGACACTCCCACGGTC